TAAGTGACAACGTTTTGAAGACTTAAAAACGTGCGTGAAGGGAATAACTGCACGCCATAAAATGATAAATGAAAAACCGTCAAATTGACTGCTCTGTACTTTCTCTAGTGTTAAACGTGTGTAGAGGCAGTAGACGGATGAACTCCAGTGAGCTGACCAAACAGCACGTGTTTTCAGAGTTCTTACAACATCACAGCTCTGCACGTGTCGCTGTCAGATCTGAAAAGTTTTCTCATGTCTCCCAGGTCCGCCCCGCGTCTCACTGCCCCAGGTCCGCCCCATGTCGGCCCCATGACTGCCCCATACCAGCGCAGGCCAACAGCAGAAAGTGACAGAAGTGGATTAGGAGCCAGACAAACTTGCCATTTCCATCACCTTTAACTTTCTCCACAGGGGACTCTCAGTTAATGGATGAATTCTTCTACACATTCTACGTTCATGAATTGTAGCTGCGCAGCAAGTATAGATTCTTAGGTAATACTGATTGCGCAGCGCACGGTGATTGGTTACGTTGTCTGTGTGTATGACAACTCCTCTGACCAATCATATCTCTCCCCGCGTTTTACCCCCAAACTAAGTGAGCGCTGATTGGCTGAGCTGCGCAAGTGGGCGGTCCCCTATTAATAACTTTTGCAGACCAGGCAATGTCCAATTTGTGACTTTTTCTATGTGACAGGCGAGAGACCAGCGCTCCGTGTTTTTTATTTTATTTGCACCATGGAGATAAACATGAGCTCCGAGATCCCGGAGGTGTTCCGCGCGTTGCTGGAGCTGCCCTTCACCCTGCCCAGCTTCGACCCGAGCGGTGAGTGTGGTGGTCGCATGGGTGCCAGCTCTCTCCTGCCTCCTCCACTGCTTTTAACATGTCACATATAGGAACAGAACATTAATGCTCTCAGTCCACTGACCTGCACTGACGCGGATCTAAACCACAGACTTTCTGCGGAAGGAACGTCAGAAACCACAAGACACGTCTCATGACTGCAGCTTACTTACACCAGAGAGATTTACTGCATGATTGCTATGTTCTTACTCACTTCTAATCAACAATAATGAGCCAAATCTTACCAGAACAATGAACATACTTTATTTGTATTACTTTTTTCTTTATTTAGACTTTTGTTTTTTGCCTTTAACATGTTTGCACACTTCTTTCTTTTGCACAAATCTTGAGTGATTCTATCCATGCCAAATGTGACATATACATTTCTCCTGTGTGAGATCAAGAAAGTCTATTAATAAGGACTCACATGCAAGCACGGGATCCATAGCCAAGAATAATGAAATAAACTTTGTGCCTTCTGATTTTAGGGGATTTGTTTTACATTTATCATCAAGAACACCGTAATATTTGTTTATAAATAAGTACAATCATAATCCAGCTATGAAGCAAACTCCCAGTGACGTCATGACAGTTGTGGACATGATCTGATAAAAGTTTGTCGTGAACAGCACATTAGGGACAGACCTCAGGATGTGATTGGACTCAGTCTGGTGGTAACTATAGTAACAGCATGATGGAAGTTATTATAATTCACAGAAGTGTATAGTACTTTAAAGGACGCCCTTCATTGCGCATTTCTTTCACCGCCCACATGGTGGTGAGATAGTGCCACTGTAGCCGCAGCTGCCCTGAGGCAACCATCATAGTCTTCCTGACCACCACTTTCACACAGACCTAAAGAACAAAAAACATGACAGGATGTGATTTAGTGGTGCTATAGTTTAGTGGACCGATCAAAGTCCTGAAGTCCTGCACAAACACATGATGCAACAGCTTTATTACACTGAGAGCACATTTGGAAAACACATTTCTAATTTATGTTCTTTAGATATTTGTTTTGCCTTTTTGAGGATGTAATGGTCAAACATGATGCATTCAGAGCTTTTTATTCCGGTGTTATTTTATCAAATTGTACTAACATTATCACATTTTGTATCAGACTGTGGGAAACTCTTTTAGAATATCATCTTCAAATCCTCTCCCTTCAGCTTCGTGTCTCGCTCCCCCCGCTTTGAGAACCACTGTCCTAAATGTAACTTGGAGGTGGTGGTGGGTTCCTAGAGACTGTATATCGTATTACTACAGTCGTTTTAAACGCAGTAATAACATTTTTGTTTACATCACTGTATTGAACCAAACCTCCTCAGCGGCTGCTTCTGGACCTGGACCTGCTTCTGTTTGTGACGAAGAGTTTTGGCAGAATCCTGATTATATCTCAGCAATATGAGGAGGGCTGTTTTACACCTTTCATAACCAGCTTTTGGTGTCACTGCTGCTGATCGGGAGAGATGACCTACTTTCCAAGACAGATGGAGAGAATGGAAGAAATATGATATATATCGAGCAGAGAGATTGTGGAGGACTTTTTATTCTGCAAAAATACCGTCAAAAAGTTCAAATCTCACAGAATCAGTCATGGATATGCAGCGTGGAGAGTCTGCACTGTGGCAACTGTGTCTACAGACTGGATTCTTTTTTAAGACCAGAGTGGGTTTTTTTCTTGCTGGTACCGGGTGACATGGTGGCTGAGTGTGCATGTTCTCCCTGTGTCTGCGTAGGTTTCCTCCAGGTGCTCTGGTTTCCCCTACCACTTACACAACAGGTCTGATTGTAATGAGAGTGGGAATGGGTGGTGATGGTCGGAGGCTTTGATGGACCAGTGTGTTTGAAGACGCTATATTAAGATGACTTACTTATGAGCTGAATGTTTTGACGTTGGTTGCCGTGAGTGTCACTTGTAATGGGAAAATTACAAAAAGTAAAATATGAACCAAAAAGATGGCGAAATTCAGGTGTCCAGCAGGAGAAACACATTCATCCGTAAAAGCAAATAAATACGTAATTCTAAAAGTTACAATGATGTTTGCAGTTTGGTTCGGACCATTTTCCCTGCTCTGGTTCAGAGTGAAATTCTGAATGCTTTATTAGCTTTTTTTTTAAACTAATAATAGCAATCCTCCAGTAGATTTCAGTTCGATGGTCTTGGTCTGATTCAGTGTAAAGCCAGAAAAAAATAAAAATAATGGTTCTGAAATACAAAATGACAACTGTCTCAGAGATACTTAGGACTCGCTGCTGTTTCCAGACCATTCAAATGTAAATAGTTGGGACATAAAAACTGAAAATTTACTACTACCTACTATTTACCTAATAGTATTGACATAGTAAAAAAACACTATGTTCTCTGCGCCACACCCGATTTGTTATTTGTGCTACTTTTAACCCGAAACCGGAGAGGGCTTCCCCAGAGCGCCCTCTGCTGGATTTGGCTCCACCACTGACAGTTTCGGCTGCTGGTCTTCCTCAGAGTGATGTCACATGATGTTCCTGTGACGTGTCTTGTGGCTGCGCAGCTTTTGGTGCTGGTTCTGACCACAGGAACCAGTCCGACTTCATCAGGACAGAATCGCAGATGTGTGAAAGTAAAAAGGCCCCCTCGTCCCGGTTCATAGTCCTGAGAGCACAATCAAATATTTCAATTTCTTCACTTTGTTTTTGTATATCCATAAACCGCAACAGCAGTCGTCTCAGAGGATTTTACAAAGTTGTCGATTCACCAGCAACAGATCAGAAAATCAACCAATTCAAACACAGGAAGTAGCAAAACATTGACAATTGATAAAACAATAGAAGGACACGAGAGGCGTTTGCCCCATGATGCTTTGCTTCGCCCAAGTCCATTATGCAAAAGTAACTGTTGTAGTAACTCTAACTAAGTAACTGTAAAGGTAACTGTAGCAGTAACTGTAACTGTGTCCTGCACATGTGTCCGCTGAGACCGAGCAGAGAAATGGTTTAAACTGTAGCAAACTAAAGTCAACAGTAATTTAAAAAAAAAAAAAACGTGGTTCAAAGTTCAATAACCTGTGTTACATTGTACTTTAACCCAAATTAAATTGTGTTTTATTTCTATATAAGTGACTTTTACGTTCAAACCAAAAGCACTGTCAGTATAATTATGTAGTAACATATTGTAGTAACATATTGTTTTTGAAGTATCTTTCCCAGTGATCTGCACTAAAGCTGTGTGTGTGTGTGCGTGTGTGTGCGTGAGTGTGTGAGTGAACGCCAGTTTCTCATTATTCTGAACACATTATTGTTATTAAGCTTTGTTTTAAACACAAAAAATAATAACAATGTAACTGATAAGAACCTGCAACGATAAGACTCGACATCAGACACCACTGAGTCCACGCCCTGAGCTGAGAGTGTTCTTTCAGTCTCTGAGGCTGTACGTGCAGCTGTATGTGCAGCTGTATTTATTTAAATGAATGAAGAAGGTGTTTATATGTCTGTATGTGTTCTTAATCTCATCTGCATCATACTGATACAATCCATTGGTTTGGTTTTAGTATCACCCTGTCTGGTGTTAATGGTTAAGAACACAAATGGTTCATTACAAAGTCAATTTGAGGTTATTGAAACCCAAACCTGTAAACACTTAGAATCAAAACTGTGTTTTTTCTTTTGTGAGTAACAGGAAGTCACAACCTAGGAAAGTGACTCGGTTGTTTTTTGTTGTTGTTTGTTGCCAAAACAAATCTCATTCCGACACCTGGACAACAGACCTTTGGCCCCTGCGGCATGTGGGCCCCTGACCTGTACGCGCCTTCTCCACCAGAGGGCGCCAAACAGCTCACATGTGTCTGCACGTGAAGGACCCAAAACAAGGACTTTTCCACCGTGCTGCGGTTGACACATAACACAGGCCACGGACAGGAGCACGCCTTCCCGCTGACGACTGCTGCCATTGGTGCCTGTCTTCTCTTCTTTATTAATATTCTGTCTTTGCTCTGACTTCAGCCAATCGCGTTTGGAGTTATTCTGCAGAGGCTCCTCCCACTTCTGTTCCACATTCACTGACGTCCTTGAAGAACAGACTGTGCGGGTTCGATCGTGTGGAAATATTGGTTCCAGTTTGTGCTAAAGTCAATCTTCAGGCGCGTTTTGTTTAGTTTTTGCTTTTTGACTTGTACTTGAAGCGACCCACAGCAGAATGTCCTCCGAGCCGATCGTGGTGACGCTGGACCTGGGCAAAGGAACAACCAGTTCTTTCCCAGTGGTGCTCAAAAAGATCATGGATATGCCTCCGCCGAATATCTTTGATGGCGACGATGGTGAGAAGCATGTTTGTTTTTGCAGCGACCCGAAGCACATCCTGTTTCCTCTCCACCATCTGCACTATTATCTGCAAGCGGCGATCCGGGCCCCGCCTGGGCCTCGCATGTTCTAGATCAGGGGTCTGGGGACAAAATTTTAGACATTTGGAAACATTCTTTCAAACAATGGAACAATTAGCACAGATATCCAATGTTTTTCTTGTCTCATTGGAAAATCTTGTTGTAAGATTGTCATTTAATCGTGCAAAATATGGATCTTTTCTATCTATTTTTAGCAATTTTGGTGTGCAGTGTGATACCCAAAACCAACCGCTCATAATTTATCACTGCATAAAAGTATTTTTTTTTAAACTTCGTGTTTGGGGAGCTACTTTGTATCGAGTAGCGAGCTACTGGTAGCTCCTGAGCCGTAGGCTGGAGACCCATGTTTTAGTTTGTATGTTGACACACCCGTAGTTAAAAGTGTTTGTGCGTTTTGTCTTGTTGCCCAGAGTGCTGTGAAGGACATCTGTGTGTCATTGTTGCTGGTTTAATGTTACAGTCTTTCCTGTTTGAAAACAAGTTCACATTGTCAGATTCTACGACAGAGCGGTGCAGAAATACTAAGATTGTAACAAGTTCATCGATAATCACAAATCATTGGAATAAGTCTCAACTACTGTAGGCAAGAAATTGGAACAACACTGTGTTTAATGTCATATTTAAAGCTGGGGTATGCAACATGTATGTTTTCCTATAATATGTTTGTCTCAACTGAAGGAGTAAAAGTAAACTGTTGTGAACAAATCAAACCACAACATGCGTCTTTGCCTTAACATAAAACATGTGGTCTTTTGCACGCTGCTAAAGAGCCCTGTGAGTCACTGTTTGAGGCTCTGGGCTGAGAGGGAGCTCTGATTGGCTGAGTGAGGACGGTCCTCTATTCCTCACGTGGGACAGAGGCTTTAAAACATCTGCATGTGGAAAACCGCCGACGGAATTAAACCTTCATGAACAGAAACTCGTTGAAAACTTTTAGAATTACGTATTCATGTTTGTTTGGATGGATGGAATGTGTTTCTGCTGCTGGAGACCACAGGGAACAATAAAGTATCTATCTCTCTTCCTCTGTCTATCAATCTCTCTATGTCTCTTCCTCTGTCTATCAATCTCTCTATTTCTCTTCCTCTGTCTATCAATCCCTCTATCTCTCACTTTGGTCTCACTCGCTCCGCCTGTCTATCTATCTCTCTCTAGATCAATCTCTATCTCTCTCTAGTCTCTCACTTTGGTCTATCTCTCTCTCTGTCTCTCATATTCAATGTATTGTTGTCTAGCCCTAAATGACAACAGCGGTCGTTTCACCAACAAAGTAAACTGTCTGAACAGAGGAAACTGTGGCTTCTTGAAACAAATTTGTATTGTTATATTTTGTTCTTAAAATAACTTTTTTGACCTAAAAGAATCACTTCCAGTTTTGTTTACATTACTAACACTTTCTGGTATTTTTGTTTGTTCATTGTTACTGTTGACGTAGAATTGCATGGTTGGCATTAAGTCAGTTTACACCTCTCACTATCCCACCGTCTTTCACACCACTCTTTATACATTACACACTTTATTCTGATTGAGTGTGTGGATGTGGTTGTGTATGTTTGCAGACACAGACAAAGAGAAGCTGGGCCTCGGGGACAGTGTGGAGCTGCCCGGGGGCAGCAGCCTGGGGCCCACCGCGGCCCTCACCCCTGCCATCTGGGACAAGACCATACCTTACGATGGGGAGAACTTCCACCTGGAGTACATGGACCTGGAGGAGTTCCTCATGGAGAATGGCATCCCCACGTCCCCTGGCAGCGACGACTCATCCCAGGAGGCCAGCCCCATCAAGACCGAAAAGAGACCGAAGTCTGAGACCTCTCTGCTCCCCATCCAGGAGCTGGAGCAGTGCGCGGAGGAGGTGGTGATCATTACCAAGTCTGAGTCCGACGTTTCCTCTGACATAACCACAGGTGAGTGTCTCTTCCTAGCTTAGACCTTCAACTAGGGCCGGGAATTGGAAAAAAAAAAATATTGTTTGTTTTTACCCCTTTCCCCTTGTTTTCATAGCCTGGTCTTACCACACCATAGTACAAATTACATTTCATGCTAAGGTCTGGATTTGCTCCATTGAACTCCGTGAACAGCTGGGTGGTGTCAACTCCTTGACAATTGGATCGGAGTTTTCCTTTGCCGCTAACGGAGCCCGTGGGGAGTAGCACCACAATCTTTTCCAGACAATTTGCTAAACATCCCTCTTGCTCTGGCTTTAGAACCAGAGCCGATTATTATTCTTTGCCATTGCCAAACTACGACCGGCCACTTCGGCGCAAACTTTTTACTTCACCCACAACTTACTACAACACCGCCTCCCGCGCTCGCTGATTGGTCGGATGGGATTCAGCCGATGTAATTGCAGACACTGGGGCTAGACCCAGAAGGTACATGTAGGAAATGATAATTGACCGGAGTGTACGGACGTCTTAAGGCCAGGCTATTTTTTTCATAATACGCTCCTTTCTATCTTGTTTTAAATGGAACTCTCCTGAACAAATGGAGAATATTCCGATCCGATAATAGACCAAATCCTATTGTATTCTGGAGTTTTGTAAAACCCTTACCATCCTGTGTTTCCAGAGGTGATCACCGATAAGGACAGGACCACGCCCGAACCCCTGGACCCAGAGGAAATCGAAGTGGACGTGAACTACGAGCCGGACCCCACAGACCTGGTCCTGTCCAGCGTCCCGGGAGGAGAGCTCTTCAACCCACGCAAACACAAGTTCAGCGAGGAGGAGCTCAAGCCTCAGCCCATGATCAAGAAGGCCAAGAAGGTCTTCGTCCCAGATGAGCAGAAGGTAGGTCCGCTTTCCCTCCGAGCAGCAAAGGAATGATCAATGTCGTCTGTCAGAAATGAAGATTAACCCTTGAGGCGCCAGAGGATTTTTCCCTAAGAGGCTCAATTTTGACATCTTAATTTCTTAATAACTTAAAAGTAAAAAGAGATAGAGGCTTTATGTAAATTAGAGAAATGAGAAGGATGGCTCAAAGTTTATGAAGGAATTAAATGAACCCCTCTAATTTGCATATTGTGTCTCCATACCGTAGTCCATATTGTGGATTTTCATGTTTACAGACACAGATCACTAGGACATAATACTCAAACATAACTCACATTGTACTCTACTCAATGGACAGGGAAATAGTAAAACAGAGTGAATAATGTTGTGGCAGGAGCACTTAACTAAGTGGGGTTAGCTCGTGCTCTGTCCGGTCTATCCTCGCGAGTCGCTTACGGACCTCGGCAAAATCAGCTCATTGCCTCTAATCAGTGTGAATGAAAAAAATGTGCTAACGTTAAAATAATGTCTTCACTTTGAATACTACACAACATTTATAAAGTCTCCCATTCTCTGCTCTGCTCTTTGAAAAAATCTGATTTCTATTGCACTTATTAATATTATTGTTATTATTATTATTATTATTATTGCACTTACACTAGTATCCAGTGCCTTCTTCTGGCGTCATCCCAACAGTTTTTTTCTCTCTCTCTCTCTTTGCAGGACGATAAGTACTGGCAGAGGAGGAAGAAGAACAACGTGGCGGCCAAACGCTCGCGAGACGCACGGCGCCTGAAGGAGAACCAGATCACGGTGCGGGCCGCCTTCCTGGAGCGCGAGAACACGGCGCTGCGGATGGAGGTCGCCGACATGAGGAAGGAGTGCGGCCGCTACAAGAACATTGTGGGCCGATACCAAGCCAAGTTCGGAACACTGTAAGAGACAAAAGCAAAAGTTACAACACCTAAAACCTCTTTAGAACTGGTTCCTCATTGGGCTCAAAGTTCTAAGCCCCTTTTCAACCAACTCTAGCCTGGTCTTACCACACCATCGTACACATTTCATTCCGTACTAAGGTATAGAGTTTGTCCATTGAGCTCCGTTAACAGGTGGGAGGGGATAACTCCTTTTGCAGATTGAAACTACTTGATCTGAGTTATTGTGACGTATGTAATGCAGCTGAGTGAGTGAGGTATTTAGCATTTAGCCTAGCTTTAGCATTTAGCCTAGCTTTAGCATTTAGCCATCGCCTTTGCCACAAACAGAGCTCGTGGGGAGTAGAGCCACAACATCTTTGCCAGCATTGAAATTTGCTAAAAATTCCCTTTGCTCCGGCTTCAATTTCTTGATATTTGGATTGAACCAGAACAGATTATTGTACTTCGCATTCTCCGACAAACTACAACCAGCAAATTCGGCACTAACTCTTGACGTCACCGACACGTACATACAACACCCGCCTCCCCCGCTCTCTGATTGGTCGGAGGGCATAGAACCGAAGTAACCACATCCACTAGGATCAGACTCAGACGTACATGTAGGAAATAATCATTGACCGGAGTTTACAGTTGGCTAAGACCAGGCTAAACCTTCTCCAGCCCTTCTTTTATTTCCCAAAATTTAATCCACATCCTTTTGCAATAATCAAACATTATCTTTGTGTGTTTATCTTCTGAGAAACAAGCATTTTACGCTTCTCTCTTTAGTCCTTAGCAGCAGAATGAGGGAGACCAGGGCTGTGTAGATGCTGTAGAACAGACCTGTCTCTCTGAAAATATGATGTCATTGATTTAATATTCTCTTCTCTTTCAAGTGCTGTGGCGGACGACCTTTAGACCACCACCACAGCTTATTTTTAGGTTGCGTAGAACATTGGTCTTTGAAGAACTGAAGAAAAAGATCCCTCATGTATTATACAACAATGACAGAGTTTAAAAGTGCTTCTTCGATACACATATGTTGTGTACACATCAGGACGTTTTTAGGACTTTGGCCAAATGAGGTCACTTGTTTTGGGATACATGTAAGGGAGGGCTGCACGGCTTTTGGGGAAATATCTCATTTTACTGATTTTCTGACCAACATGGCAACATCCTGCATCTTTCACAATTGTTTACAGAGTTTATAGAGTTCTAACCTAAAGTCCACACATCACTGCAGAATGCTATATCGTTTAAATATATATATATATACATGTTTTTCTTTAAGTCGAGTTGTGCGACACATTTTGAGTTTATATATGATGGAAATAATTAGTGGTGGGAATTGGCAAAAGATTTAACAATTCGATTGTTTTGTGATATTTGGGCCAACATTCAATATTATCGCGATTCTTGACATATCGCGATTATATCTGTTTTCAAATTCAGCTTCAGATGATTCAGATTCTTCATATTTGCCAGTTGCAGTAAAACCACACTGGAATATATTTGCAAAAGTCCCCAGTGTGCACCAGACAAGTACATAAATATATATATATTTTTTTTTTAAGGAATTATCGATTTAATTATTGTGATATTGAACAGAAGCATTTTTTTTTTTTTTTTTTTTTTTTTTTTTTTTCACCACTAAAAATAATCTTCCACAACTAGACAAAATACAGAGAAAAATCTTCAAAATAAACTCGAATCAAGAGAGATTTCCCCAAATTCTTGCAATATATATAATTTTTTGTTGCAAAGAAATTCAATATTTGCATTTTTATTTTTTTTGGTGCAGCCCTAACACGGGGTTTATTTTAGCCTTTTAGATTGTGTTTTTTTTGTCGTTCTATAAATAATTTCGACGTGGTTCTATCGCGGTAGTTCGAGTTAAGTCGGGAGCTTCATGTTGTAAATGTGAGACTGTGATGATTCCACTTCAGGGTTATGTCGAGACCTGCTTTCACAGCTGCAAACCGCGTTCACAATAAATGAAAACCAGGGAGTTTGGGGCAAGAGCAGGAGCTGACGTACAGCTGCTGCTTTTGTCCTCGTCTGTAAAAATACCACGACGTGTAAATAAGCTTATTGTATGTGTCTCATTTTCGTCTGTTCGAGTCACGTTTTCTACTACGACAGACACAAACGTCCAAATTCTCAGTCTTTACAAGCACGGCTCAGTAAGTCCACCCAAAACTGTAAAAAACGGGCATCAAAGCTATAAATCTCCGCCTCCGACTCACTGCATACGTCATTGTTCTGCCCAAGTGTCTTCTTCGTCAACGCCATTTCAATGCATTTTCCTTTATTTTAACAGTTTACATCGGTCTGTGTACCGCAACCGTCTGCTTTTAACCCTTTAACGCCCAGTCCTTATTCTTCAAAAAGTCAGTTATCGGCTTTTACCAAATGGTTGAAATGCAGTTTGATGGTAAAAGTGCCTGAAACCGAGTGAAACGCCCTTAAAGAAGTAGATTTCAGTTCCAAGCTTAAAGTAGATTTAGTGATTCTGAATGGGATCTACCAAATGGTTGTTGGGAACCATTAAAGGGTTAAAAGCGTACAGCCTCAGTTTCAGCGTGTGCGTCCTGGTTAAAGGGAAAGTTGTCTGTGAGCTTCCATGAATGAGTACAATAACTTATTAAAAGAAATAAGTCAGAATGTTCATATATATCCGCGTATGTCAAAGGCATAGGTTTCACTTTAGCCGTTGCAGCGATGGGCTTCCGTAGAGAATCCACACTCACCTTTCACCATATCCACTTGCCTTTATAAACAGGTCAATTTATTCACTGTTAAAGGTTTTTTTTAACCTTATTTTTTTGTAAGAGTGAAAACTTATTGTATAATGGTATGTACAAAATAAAATGTTATTTCAATGTGTCTGGAGTTGATTGATCTTTCGTTCAAACGTTTCATTGTTTTTGCCCAATGAAACTGATGATGCAACTTTGTCATTTCACGTTTTAGAAAATGTTTAATCATATATTCAGAAGACAATATTTGGAGGAACTAGAGTCAAGGGTAAGTGCTATCGATCTGCCCTATCCCAGTGCTACCACCAGGGGGAGGTGTAGCATGTTAAATGTTAAAATACTGGATGCAAAGATGTGATGCTGAAAACTGATCGAAGCGTGTCATAGCGGTACAATGACAGACCATTGGACCGGACCCTGATGCTAACATTTAAGATGTACACATATAACTGCATTACTCTGGCATTAGAACAGGGATCTCCAACCTTCCTCAATACAACAGAAGTGCAGAGAGCTCGTCCCTTATGCAGTTGTAATGAACGTCTAATATGACAAAACATAAAACCTTTTTTTTCTCATCTGTGTTCAAGTATTAAGGAATATTTTACATTTCATTTTCATCCCTTAATTCATCCGTTTCTCAGGGGTGGGATTCAGAGGAAGATGGCTGCTCCTTCAACAAAGATACTAACTTGGTGTTTCAGCAGGAGTATCAGGCAAAGTGGGGTGAAGTGTCTTGCCCATAGACTGTATATTGCCCAGGGACACAACAACCGCAGACATCAGTGAGAGCAGATGACATGGATCATGGTGGGATCAAACCCACGACCATTAAGTCCAAAGACCAATTGAGCCACTGTCGCCCCTTTTACAATTGTATCTAAAATAGATATGTAATTACTCAAAATATATTAAGGATCATGTGTTAAAATATAAATCCTTTGGTTTAAACACTTTAGTTTTATAAAAGCAGAACTAGAACTGTCATAGTGGTGCAATGACATACTATTACAGGACAGAGCTAAAAACAACTGCAGGTCTGTGACTGATGATTAAAATCAATTTCACATAATACGTCTCCTTTAACTGGATGTGAAAAACGAAAGACAATATAAAATTGTATATTAAAAAAAACAATGTTTATTAGCAAATGGATTTGACGGTTTCAAAAGCTGAAAAACTAAAACAAGGCCTGGTCCAAAGTCTTCACCTCTTCTTAAAGCCGTACTTCTTTCTTTCATAGAAGAGGTCTGTTTTGGAGCTGCCCAAATTCACGATCTTGGGACAGCCATCTCTCTGTGGAAACACAAAGCATCAATTTAAACTCATACGCTTTTATTATAACAACTTGTGAGAGACAAGAGGGAGGCCACAGAGCCCAGATAGAAACCCGAGAAAGAGGCCAGTGAGAACAAAGAGGGACTAGAGACAGGGACCAGAGAGAGACCAAAAAACAATGGCAGAGAGACCCGAGAGAGACCACAGAGCCCAGATCAAACCGGAGAAAGATACAATACAGAGAGAAAGACCCGAGAGAGAGCCCAAAGAGAGGGACAAGGGAGAGACCAGAGAGAGAGGCCAGTGACAGAACAAAGAGGGACTAGAGAGAGGGCCAGAGAGAAAAATAAGAAAGAGGGAGATCAAAAGATGCAAACACACATTGGGGCCAATAGGTTATGTTCATCATATACTATCCTCAGACTCACATCCTTCTCTTGGATCGTGCACTCTTTACAGTAGTAGGCGTCAGAGACTCCTGGGCCTCCACAGATCACACAGCGCCCCTGGTACGAGCCGTAGTTACATTCATCACAAATACGGACCAGTGTACAGGGCCTAACGTAAGAATCACAGATGACACACTTTCCGTCACCTGAAAGTAAATCCACACATTATACAAACTGAACTGTCTATGTAAAACCCTTTTGAAAAATGGTGCATAATGGAGATGTGTAATGTGTGGCTTAATGATAATCCAGCAAACTTACATTTCTCACATAGTCGACCAATAGCTGGAAAAGAAACAGAACATTAAGTCATTTAAGTTATTCACAATTATCCGTCAGATATAAGCAAAGATAAGATATGATTGTGGAAGTGAGAGTAATCATTCATAAATTATAATGTATTTTGTATGATATAATTTACTGACTGTTGATTTGAAATGTTGTTTACGTGAAGCAATTTGGTTTGATTATGTATGAACTGTGCTATAGTATATATTTTGATTGATAATAACATCCCAATATTATGTTTATGAAGAGAGCTATGGCTAGTTACTGTTAGCATGCTGTGATGTCCATGCTGCCTTCACTTTCATAGAACACTAAAGAATGAAAACCGAGGAGATCAGAACCTGTGTGTTCTGAGTCCACACAGTGTGCTCCGGGGAACCCACTCACCTACACCAGCCTGTTTTCTGCAGAAGATTAAATCTGGATGATGTTTCGCCATAATGAGTTAACGATAGCTAACGTCAGACAGGCGCTCTGCTGTGGCCGGAAGTTAACTTTAGCCTTATCCAGAGTGTAGCGCAAATCAGACTGCTCTCTAGCGTACGGATCCACTAACTGCATATTGTCCAAGTCGTGTAAGGTTATATTTATAAATCATTTTGCGTGAAAAGTATGGAGGAAATAAGTGATTTATTGTGAAGGTGTATGTGAAAGACACCTTAAAGCCTAAATAATAATTACTGTAAAATGTATGTTGCCAAACTGTCCTTTTATGTCCAATCTGAGTTCGCATTGTCTATGTACATTAATTATCCAAAATATTGATTTAGTGACTAAATAGGATTAAAAAACTAAATTAACAACCTTTGAAATTCTGAAATAAACAAAATCACGTTTTTAAAAAGTCATAAATGAAAATAAATTAGTATTACACTCTACTGTTCATGCAGGACCTGCCCCGCTTGTCTCTATATACTTCTGACGTCACGACTGACGAGCACATCTTTGTCAGTGAACAAAATGGCAACCTACTGTCTGACTGTCACCCGGCTCCAGGTGAGGCTCCTAACACCCTTTTTAGCGGCTCTCTAGACTCTGCGAAGGATTTATTTTGCGCGTGTAGTAGTGCATGGATGTTTCCCACCCGTAAATGCCTTCATGTTGTAGTAAATGTCTGTTTTCGAAGCGGAACGAGTGTATCATTTCCCCGCGGAGGCTCCTTCAGGTCATCGTGTCCCCAGCACCACCGCGGATCTGCGCCACAGCGACGTCAAACTCACCCAAACTCACTCCTGTCAAACCTGTGGCGTAGTCTCTGTCTTTGCTTCTGTCTCTGGTTTTAGTTCCACATATTAGCGTTCAGTGCTGGATGCTGCGTTGCAAGGTTAACGCAAGGTTAGAGCCGCAGTGGTCACAGACGCGGCTCTCTGGTGCGGGGCAGTGAAGGGTCAACTCTGGACAATTACTATGCAGTGATTTTAACATTTCATATTTCTATCAATATGCTGTTTACTAAAGCTCCAATCACGTCACAGTGGCCCTTACACCGCTCTCACTAAACTATTCAAACTATTCAAAGTGTGAGATAGGTTAAGACTTAAACATGTATTCTCAATAAGTAGCGAATATATCAACGATGGTGTGGTGTAAACTGTGCTGTTGGTGGTTCTAAGGCAGCCATGCTGAAGGTTAAATGAGTAAACTTGCTCTGTATACCCTCATGATGCCCCTTCACCCATAATACGCATTTAACACTAGAACTCCCAAACCACTCAATGTGACGGATTTTCATTTTAGAAGTGTAACCCGCATGTACATTTTTAGTTTTGACTTTCTGAACTTTATTGTTATTACATTTTTGTTATTTTTTATAAATGAATAGTTTTACTCCCAGAGAAGACACAGCACTAGTTACCATAGCAACAGTTAGCCTTAGCCTTCCTTGTAGTTAGTTATATTCACCAGTTTTAGCACTCATTTATAAGTGAGTAAAAGTAAAAACCTTGTAACTTACTCATGTTGCACACTTGATTGTGGAATTGTAAATCTCTCCAATGTGAGATCAATAAAGTCTACCTTATCTTAATTCTGGGAGTCATGGTGCTACGAGAAGTGGAAGATTAAACCCAACAAAAGATCAACACAATGAAGTTGAATTCAATTCCATGTATTCTTGTATAGCCTTAATTCACAACGGTAGTTACCTCCGGTGGACTTAACAAAACCGTTGACTTCCTCAACACAGATCAGAGAATAAACAGTTCTACACAAGAAATCCAATGATAAAAACACAGAGCCATTGGTCCACGAGGGGCAGATGACCAATGTCCACATGTTGTTGAATGTTGTGCCTTCTGTGATTGTGTTTTTCTCATGCTGGACCCTGTTGTTGTCTGTAGTTGGCTTTGGGCCGCGGTGCTCGCCGCCTGCATGTGTCCGCCGCCCACAGAGCGAAGGCCCAGGTCGCCATGAGCCGCTTCGAACCCACGTCCTACGTCAACTACGACAAACTCCGCTCCAACGTCGACATTGTGAAGAAACGGTCAGTGGATTCCAATACTTACACTTCTATGCAATTCAATGCATTTGTTTATGGTCTTCAATTCATACACAGATCAGAGAATCTGTGTATGAATTGTGCTATACAAATAAACATGCCTGGCCTTGCCTAGTCATCTCAAAGGACTCTTGCAAAGTTGTTTCTTAACCAACAGTTGATCATTTACCAGGAAAATCTCATTAATATTGATTAATTTTTTTTCAAGGGTGTTCTGGACAAAGAGGCAGCCAAAATTACACACAATTAAATAAAGTTATAGATGATAGAAACGGTTGCATGTCGATGAGAACGTCTCCGTTGCTCTCAATCTGGATTTAAAAGCATTTGATGAAATAAGTTCAGGTAATTTCCAGTTTTTTTGCAGCACGTTCCATGTAGAAGGAGCAGAGGATACCAAAGCTCTTTTTCCCAGTTCTGTGCAAAAGGAAGAGCCACAAATGGTCATTTGACACTAACGGTGTCTCGGCCTCATCTTTGACTCAGTCAACATTGAAATGGAAATCATTTTGAACCCCTCTTCTCCTAGACTCAACCGCCCCCTCACTCTGTCAGAGAAGATCGTATACGGTCATCTCGATGACGCGCACAACCAGGAGATTGACCGCGGGCGCACGTACCTCCGCCTGCGGCCGGACCGCGTGGCCATGCAGGACGCCACGGCTCAGATGGCCATGCTGCAGTTCATCAGCAGCGGCCTCGCCAGGGTCGCCGTGCCCTCCACCATCCACTGTGACCATCTGATCGAAGCCCAGACTGGAGGAGAGCAGGACCTGGCCAGAGCCAAGGTAAACTTTGGCGTTAGACCAAAATCCAGGGAAATGATTATCTCCAGGGAGCCGCACTGTGACATTGATATATTCTGGAGGGCTGCATCATTTTTTGTTTGGTTACCATTCAATTTACTTTGGAACAACATATTTAGTGTAAGCTACTTTAAAAATGCCTGTATTTGACAAACATAACTACAGAAGAGAAAAAGCAGGAACCCTGAAGATGTCCAATGTTATCTTTGTGTTTGTGTAAATTGGCTCATCTTTGGCTTTTGTCCTTTGTCCAGATTTTAACTGTCGTCTAGACTCTTCTTTGACTCTTTAACAACAGGAATGTATTAATTTATTAAATATGGATTATATTTTAGTTGTTTAGATTTCAATTCTTGCATTGAACCAAAACTGAACTATAGCTAAAATAGTCTAAGTATTGTGTACAGATGAATGTTTTTGATTTATTTGAGTTATTATAGTTATAACTTGCCATTGTCACAACCTTTTATTGGTTATTGATTCCCTTTAATCTGAAAAATGGGAGACACTATGAAGTTTGCAGATGAGAAAAGGTCCGCGGGCCACATAGAATCGTAAATCAGGCCGTATGTGGCCCCCGCGCCATACTTTGCCCAGGTCTGCATTAGACCCTGTAGGCATCGTCTGTGACTTTTCATTCAAACTTGTAATATTATTATGTTTTTCTCCTAGGACATTAACCAAGAGGTGTACAACTTCCTGGCCAGCGCTGGTGCCAAATATGGTCTCGGCTTTTGGAAACCAGGCTCTGGAATCATCCATCAGGTAATGAGCACATTCACATTGGTGTATAGACTTTTCTCTAAATGGCGTTAATGTCCCCCATAGATCATCCTGGAGAACTACGCTTACCCGGGGGTCATGCTCATAGGCACAGACTCCCACACGCCTAACGGTGGTGGGCTTGGTTCTATCTGCATCGGTGTTGGAGGAGCGGATGCTGTGGACGTCATGGCAGGAATCCCCTGGGAGCTCAAGTGTCCTAATGTAAAACACTGAGATTCAAATTCATACGTCCAGGTTTTCACACATTTAAACATTGACATGTCTTGTTTTCCAGGTGATTGGAGTGAAGCTGACAGGATCCCTCTCTGGGTGGACCTCCCCCAAGGACATCATCTTGAAGGTGGCAGGCATTTTAACTGTCAAAGGAGGCACTGGAGCCATCGTCGAGTACCACGGACCGGGAGTCGACTCCATTTCATGCACAGGTAAAACGAAATGAATGGAGTAGGGATTCGCACCTCAAAAACCTTCAGAGCGGGTGCGTTGGAGAGGAGGCCTGTAGAGCCTAAAGTCAGAGAGGGAAGAAGAATCCCGCACACCGTCTTACTTGCAAATAAAAATTATTTATTACAAGCTGCAACGTTTTGGCGTTATGCCTTCATCAAGCAAACACAGGTAAAACAACATGTAAAATACTTTATTGTTCCCTGTAGGAGAGATGCAGGTGTCCAGCAGCAGAAACACATCCAAACAAACATAATGATAAAGTTACTAAAAACACTTTAGGTCACAGCAGCAGAGGTGGTGTAGTCAATCAATCAATCAATCAAAGTTTATTTGTAGAGCGCCTTTCATACACATGGCAACACAAAGCGCTTCACAGTCCACATCACAAATCATCACATAAAACAAACACCAGAATCACAATTAAAACATTAAAATCACACAAAAGATTAAAACACAATTAAAACATTAAAATCACACAAAAGAATAAAACCATTAAAACTTTCAAAATTACACAAGAAATTTAAAAAAATAAATAAATGACAGCAGTGCATTAAAAATGGAGATAAAATCCTTCAGTTGTATGCACAGGCAAACAGAACAGTCTTTAACCTGGATTTGAACATTGACAGAGTAGACGCCTCCCTCACATTTTCAGGGAGATTGTTCCAGATCTTAGCTGCATGGATCTGAAACGCAGCCTCCCCATGTTTGGTTCTCACTCTGGGCACCAGCAGGAGGCCAGTCCCTGTGCTCCTCAGAGTCCGGGCCGGTTCATATGACACCAACATGTCACTAATGTATTCTGGTGCAAGGCCATGGAGAGACTTGTACACAAGCAGAGCCGTTTTAAAATCTATTCTTTGAGCCACAGGAAGCCAGTGCAGAGACCTGAGGACCGGACTAATATGGTCATACTTCCTGGTTCCTGTCAGGACTCTAGCTGCTGCATTTTGGATGTACTGCAGCTGCTTACAGGTCTGTTTGGACAGACCTGTAAGCAGGCCATTGCAGTAGTCTAGCCTGCTGGAGACAAATGCATGGACAAGAATCTCCAAGTCTGCCCTGGACACTATATTTCTAACTTTGGCAATGTTCTTCAGATGGTAAAAAGCTGTTGATGTTATTGATTTTATGTGGCTATTGAAATTTAGGTCTGAGTCCAGTATTACCCCCAAATTTCTGACCTTGTCTGAAGGAAGTAGGGAGAGAGACTGAAGTTGACAAATGACGCCCTCTCTTTGTTTCTGGGGACCAAAGACAATGATTTCGGTTTTGTCTGTATTTAGCTGGAGGAAATTATTTTGCATCCAGTCACTGATCTGTTGGATACAGTGAAGGAGCAAATCCAGTGGTCCATGTTCTCCTGCAGTCAGTGAGACATAGATCTGAGTGTCGTCAGCGTAATTGTGGTAGGACACTTTGTTTCTTTGTATTAACTGACCTAACGGCAGCATGTAGAGATTAAATAGGAGAGGTCCCAGGATCGACCCCTGTGGTACACCACAGGTCAGGGCCACATCATCTGAGACGCAGTCTCCAATCTCCACAGAGTACTTCCTATCCTCCAGGTAAGACCTAAACCAGTCTAGGGCTGTGCCAGTGACACCAGCCCAGTCCTCCAGTCTCTGCATGAGGATCTCATGGTCGACAGTGTCGAACGCGGCACTAAGATCTAACATGACCAAAACTGTGACTTTACCTGCATCAGTGTGAAGTCGAATGTCGTTTGTTACCTTCACTAGAGCGGTCTCAGTGCTGTGGTGGGGTCTAAACCCAGACTGGAACATATCAAAAGAATTATTCATTGTTAAAAATTCAGTAAGTTGTTGGGAGGCCACTTTTTCAAGAATTTTTCCAATAAATGGCAGATTCGATATGGGGCGATAATTTTGAAGTCCCGCAGGATCCAGACTGCTCTTTTTTAGGAGAGGTCTTATGACTGCTGTTTTTAGGGCCATAGGAAATGTTCCTGACGACAGAGACATGTTTACTATTTGTGTCAGTGAAGGTAACAAACTGCTCAGGACGGACTTCAGAAATTTAGAGGGCAATATATCCAGGCTACATGTGGAGGAGCTCAGACTCATGATTATCTTTTTGACAGTTTCAGTATCCACAGGTGCAAAGTGAGTTAGCTCAGAAAGCTTCTCTGGCTGTTGCATTGTTATACGTGCTGTGGAGGTGATAGTGTTTTTGATTCCTTGTACTTTGTCATCGAAAAACTGTGCGAACTCATTACACCTAGATTTAGAGGAAAATTCTAGGGGCAACTTTACAGGGGGGTTCGTTAATCTACCAACTGTTGAAAACATAACACGAAAATTGTTACTGCAACCTCCAATAATGTCAGAAAAATACATTTCTCTTGTTCTACGTAGAACCCGGTTAAATTCACCCAACTCATCTTTAAAGATTTCATAATCGCCCTGGAAATTGGACTTTCGCCACTTCCGTTCGGCCCTCCGGCACTCTTGCTTCTGTGCCCTAACCGAGTCTGCCTTAGTCCATGGGGCCTTTTTCTTACTGGTAACTATTTTAACCGTCACAGGAGCAATGGCGTCCAGAACAGTCAGAACACTGGTGGTGACAGAGTTATACAATTCATCAACAGTAGAGCATGGAGTTTTCTCAAAATTTAGCATTCCCATGAACAGTTCACTTGTGTTTTCTGTGGTGGGGTCTAAACCCAGACTGGAACATATCAAAAGAATTATTCATTGTTAAAAATTCAGTAAGTTGTTGGGAGGCCAACCCGGTTAAATTCACCCAACTCTCTTAAAGTTTCATAATCGCCTGAAATTGGACTTTCGCCACTTCCGTTCTCCGCACTCTTGCTTCTGTGCCCTAACCGAGTCTGCCTTAGTCCATGGGCCTTTTCTTACTGTAACTATTTTAACCGTCACAGAGCAATGGCGTCCAGAACAGTCAGAACACTGGTGGTGACAGAGTTATACAATTCATCAACAGTAGAGCATGGAGTTTTCTCAAAATTTAGCATTCCCATGAACAGTTCACTTGTGTTTTCATGTATGTGTCTTCTTCTAACAGTTGTAAATTCAGCTGGTGGTTTGCTAGCAAAACACATGTCAAAAAATACACAGAAATGATCTGACAAAGCAACATCAACTACATTAACATTTGATACATTAACCCCCTTTGTAATTAGCAGGTCAAGAGTGTGCCCCCTGCTGTGGGTGGGGCCACTCACGTGCTGAATGAAACCAAAGGTCTCAAATACAGAAGCCAGCTCCTTTGCATTTCTGTCATCAACATTATCAACATGTACATTAAAATCACCTGTAATAACTAAACTATCAAAATCTGTGCACACGAATGAAAGTAGTTCAGTAAAATGGTCAATAAAATCGCAACATGACTGTGGTGGCCTGTACAGGACAATGAAAAGAGTAGAAGATTGCTTTTGTTCCATTTTAAAAGAAATATACTCAAACGATGAAAAATTTCCAAGGGGCATTCTATGGAGACAAAGTGCTCTCTAAAAACTGCAGCTATGCCTCCCCCCCTTTTGTTTTCTCGTATTTCGGATTCGAATTTAAAATTGGGTGGTGTTGCTTCTATTAGAACTGCATTTCCTGTATTTTGGTCCAGCCATGTTTCAGCCATAAGCATAAAATCAAGATCATAAGAAGTGATAAAATTATTAATTAAAAATGATTTGTTACATAGAGATCTGACATTAAGCATAGCAAGTTTAAAAATAACGTCAGAGTCGATTAATGTGGTTGATTGATTTCTACAGGGAACAGAAATTAGATTTGCAGAGTTGGACCGTCTAACTGCTGTCCTGTTTTTGATTTCGTTTTTTAGAATTTAAAAACATTTTTGAGCTGGTGCGAGGAACACACACAGTCTCAATTGGCCTAAAATGTGAAAACCCTTGTTGTTCTTTAGCTCCCAGAGTCAGAAGGGAGTCAGCACAGTTCAGTGTTTGGACTGGTAATGCACTGCCAGACGGACAGGGAGCAGTGTTTGCACCGTTGTACTCACCCGGTGCTGGTGAGCAGGAGGCGGGGAGTGCGGTGGGGTCCGAGGGGGCTCAGATGTAAACAGTCACGCCCCCCTCGGGGAACGCTGAACAACATAACGTATGTAATCCATCAACAGGCTGCTACCGTATCTGTTTGGGTGTAATCCGTCTGGACGATAGGCTTCGTAACGTTTCCAGAAAAGGGCAAAGTTATTCACAAAGTTAAAAGAGCTGCATGTAGCCTGGAGCCACACATGCAGCGCCACAACACGACTGTAGAGGCAGTCACCTCTGTTTACAGTCGGGATTGGACCAGAGATAAAAACAGATAATCCGGAGGATTGAAGGAGGTGGAACAGATCCATAAAATGTTTCTTGTGACTTCTGACTGCTGAAGTTTCATGTCGTTAATTCCCACATGCACGACTACCTTGGAAACGGTATCAGGCAGGGACTGAAGCAGAGGAGGGAGACGTATGAGCAGGTCTGGTACAGTAGCTCCGGGAATACAGCGAGTGACCGCGTTAAAGAAGCGGACGTGTCTCACGATGGAATCTCCAATAATCAGAGTGGTCGGGGCGAAGAGTGGACTCGGAGAAGGAGCTCGGTGGACGGAACCAGCGGTTTCACCCGAAGCAGGACCCGAGCCTGAGCGCCGCTGAACACATGGAGAGGAGGAGCGGGGGTGCTGACTCTCAGCTACAGGCGACCCACGCTGTGTGCTCGGGGACGCTGGAGCGGTGAGAGGGGCTGGCTCTGGGCGCTGCTGCTGACCGGTGGAGGTGAGCGGTGGTGATGATGGCTAGCTACCCCAGTCTGAGGCTGCTGCACTGGGGTCAACATGGCTGGTGGACCGCTCTTTCGCCTGAGGACTGCTTCCTTTAGGAGCGTTTTCCTCGTAGTGGACTTGGATCCTCGAGCAGTAGAGTTTGCTGCAGTGTCCAGGGATTCTGCTGAGGGGGCCGGGATGTCGGTGGAGAGGGCTGCATAGCGGTTTGCCAGACTCAGGACATGGGCCACGGCGCAGGATGGCTCCTCGGAATCCGCGGGCTCGTTATTCGTAAGCGGGCGCTTAGGTGTAGAACAGGAGGGTCCGGAGCTGACGGATCTCTCCCACACGACAGTGTCACAATATGCAGCGCTCAGTGACATCAGCCGTGAGTGCTGCCCACCAGCGACTTCAAAAAGTTTGGATACTAGAGATTGTTTCTCATTCAACTCTGCGGTGAGACGAAGGACTTCTTTTCGTAGATCTGCAATGGTGGCACGGTCGCTCTCACGGAGCTCCAAGGTGAGGCGACTAATATTGTGCATGTTTGAGCCAATTTCATTGTCACTTTCCATGTCCTCGTTAGCTTGTGTTAGCCTCTGTGCTACTAGTGGGTTTCAGTCGGGACTAAGTGCTATTTGCTGAAACCACTGAATTAAAAAGATAAAACACACTCAGATATATTAAAAAACTGAACAATAAAAACGCGCTAAAAAGTTGTTAAAAGTTTACTAAAAAGGTGCACAGAGCAGCCCTGCAGTACTGCTTACTTTGACACACCT